CAGAGACGCCTTCCACTAGATCAGGTTGTTCAAAACCCCATCCAACCTGGCCTTGAACACTTCCAGTAAATGCTAGAGTAGGAAATTGAGGGTGGGGAGAGGGGAAGCAAGTGCCAACACATACGTAATTTTGACTTCAGGCCTGTTGTCTGGCGTGTAAGCGGTGGAACAACTGATGAGAAAAGGACGAGGGCAAGATTGAAACAAAAGAAGACAAACCTAAGCAGTGTTAAAACACTCATGGAAACAGGTAGGCAGGTGTGAGTGGTCAAACTAATTCTACTCAGAAACAGTAGTACATACGTAAGCTGTGCAGCTCTGCCACAGTAGCATGACCAGTACAGAGCTCATATTTATAGATCTAAAACTTGAAATTGCCTTCTGGTTCCCACACAAAGTACTCGGCCAATAAACCAGCAACGAACACTATGCTCCTCTTGCACACCCAGCTAAGCCAGCAATGTTTATGTTGTCCACACAAGGTGTTTTGAGACTAAAACAAGGTGACTATTAGGCTGGCACTCGACAAGAGAAAGTAAACAGCTGTTGTGTATGCAGAGGCAGTAGAGACCAAAGGGCCCAGGCTTGTTTGAAAACTCCTCATAGCTTTAGAGATGTGGATTACCTGCATCACTCCTCTTGGCATGATGTAGTAGTAGCACTTGATGCTCATCTGAAAGCACTACATAAGTGTTCACTGAAAATCCATCATATGGTGTAAGATAAGCCAGCTCAAAAAAATGAATAGCTTACTGTTAATATTTATTCCCAACTTAAATTTAAGAGAAGGGTTAACACTTTCTTCGGCAAGTGAGTGAGATTAATTCATCAGAGCTACCAATACTGCCATATCCAAGTCAAGAGCAGCCTGGCAAGCCCGAGAGAGAGGTCCCATCCGAACTCACAGTGCTCACAGCACTGGAAACTCCTCCAGAGATGGGGGAGGAGGACACAGACTTCACACTGAGTATCAAACACGTCTACTAATCAAAGCAGGAGACTCTATTCCAAACTGGAGCAGATGGCATCCCTAGGATTATCACCAGCAGCTGTCAATGCAGTGATTATACACTGAAATTGCACAGCTAATGTACTGTATAATTTAACTAGACTGAAGAAGATGATTAGGGAGAGGGAACATTATGAAAAGATTTGGAGCTTACATATTCCTAATAATTATGGAGGCATCCCATAATCTTCAGTGTAAAAGATACATTTAGATTTGCTCTTGAAGACCGGACTAAACCCCACATTATAAACATTTTCCAATTCCAGCATGCTCAGAGACTTCCTAGGCCAATCAAGTCCGGTGCAGTGCTTCACTTGTCAAAGATTTAATGATTTTGTCAGAAGAAACACTTCATCAGCTCTTCCAACATTCCTCCTGATACACATTGATCGAACTAGGAGAAGGAGAGGAGAATTTTTAATCTGAAAAACTTAAACTTTTAAACAATGGGGAAATTCCAAATAAATATGTTTTTCTACACACACGCAGCATTCCTTTCTCTTGAGAGCCAGAAAACGAAGGATTTTCGGCACAAGAACATAAGAATATTGACATACGAAAAGGGGGAAAAAAAAGCACATCAGGTTTTCTTCAGTGACTTGAGTTTCATCTTGAATTATTCAGCACATACATGAAATAGTGTTACAGATATTTTTGGTCTTATAAATTTTAAAGCATTAAAAAAAGCAGGAAGTAAGTATTTCAGTTTTAGGGACCACATGTACAGCTAGTCTGGTGCAGCAACACAACAGTGACGTGAACACCTCTGATTCCCACTGCCTGAAGACCTAGCCGCTTATTTTTTATGTTTATAAAAGCACTCGGTGAGATATTTTTAGACCAATCTTCCTTGTTAACATTCTCTGCATAATTCATACGTCCTTATTCTCTTTGGGGTGGTGCAGACATCTGAACTGGGGGAGCAGAGGCAAACAGGATCACCCAGCAGCCCACACAGAGAACTGGGGTCAGGATGGGGAACAAGACGCACATAATGCTGGGAAAAACCTCTTGACCACTTGTGAAGATTTCTAATTTATACAAAAGAATTCCTTACGTGTCTTAAAGAGGTAGTCTGGCAGTTTAAGATGATTAGGAAGGATGAGCTTACTGGTACTTCTGCTGCATATGCAGCTGACATTCAAGCAGACTGATGGGGCAATTACATTTCTTATTAATTCTTTGGTAAATAGTCCCACAGTTCTTGTTTTCCATGTAACAAGGGGCCTGATTATCCCACTATTTCTCAGTGTAACCAGGACAGCTACGTAAATATTATGGTTCAACTAAAACTCAAGAGATTAGCAGTACTAGGCCACTAGAAGTTTTCCACAAGTCATGGTGGCAGCACCAATCTTTCACTTTCTCATTTTCCCATGGAACTGATCAAGGATTAACCACTGTTACTATATGTAAGAATTTATTGCTAACACCACAACCGTTCACTTGTCCATCGTTAGCTTCCCACGGTGTTGTGAGGAACTACCACTCAGGCACCGCATGGTCTCAGGGTTCATGCTCCAGGACCCATTATGTTCCTTTATTCCATTTTCCCCTCTGACCAAGTTGCACAACAGGTAAAGGAGAGTCAGTTTAATATCAGTTGGTCTTAAGGTGCTGTGTTGCACAGTGTTCCCATGTTTTAAATGTTTTGGAATTCTTGTTTTTTTGAAAATGGTATTTCCCCCTTTCTCCCCAGAGGACTAAAAGAAGCAATAGGAGCTTCCAAGGAACAGTCACTACTGCCGTTTGCCCAAGTTTCCTTGCAGGGTGCGTGTGCCCCTGTACATGGTCATGCACAAACGTGCAGGCACGGTGCGAGCACACTGACAGTGCTTGATTCCAGATGTTCTATTTATAGTCCCATAGACTAAGAAAAACACAATACAGCCTTATTGAAGGGCATTAGCTCACATTCTGTATTAAACTCAAAGGCCAGTAAGCAGGTAAGGTTCATCTTACGGCAATTTCCAACTTAAGATGCTTCTTACAATGCCAGTGAATTACACAGGATCATCAGAAAAACAATTCCTCTCAAAATGCTGTATGCAAAATTCATAGTGGATATTGATGTTTTATTTGAAGTGGAATTAAACATGAAACTGGACAAAATTTGGTATTGCAACAACAATAACTCCTTTTGTTCCTAGGGACATCTCGGAACAGCCTTTCATTTTGCTATTGTGTACTAACAACTTCAAAATATATTCTTAAATTCTGTAACTAGCCCCAAGTTATGCTAAATGACCAAAGCTGTTTTACTGTCCGTAGACTTCTCTATTTTTATGAACAACATTAACATTCAAGTGTTACAGAAGTCTAAAACTAGTAGCATTTCAATATTCAAACACTTTTTTCCTTTGATCAAACAGTCCAAGTAAGGAGTTTTCTGTTTTTAGTAGTGAAAAACAGAACTAACAAAAGAAAGGAACATTCAGACTAAATTCATATTCTTTCTTTCAAGAGCTTATGGTATCTTTATCTTGTCTTTCACTGAACTCAGTGTTGTCCCCTACCCCAGCAACACTTCACAGCTCTGCCAGCCTGAGGCAGCTGGAGAGCATCTACTCATGGTTAACCTGAGGAGCCCATTTGTAACTTTGCCTTGTGCTTGTCTTATACTGTACCTCAACTTCAGTCCTGGTATTTACTCCTTTCCTTAGGCAGGGCCCACAGCATCCTGAAGGCCAGTCAGTAAGGATGCACACTAAATAGTTGCACACACCTGACGCTGAAATCCTGAGAATGCACAGCTACTGTGTGAAGCTGTGCACTGTTGTCTTGCACAGGAGAGCAGGACTGAAACTTGTTTTGGCGTATTGGTAAAATATGCCATATTGGTAAAAAATTGGTAACATTTTCCCTTTCTCCTCCTGCTCTGCTTTCCTCCCTTGTCCCAGGAAAACCCATTGTTTTTTTTTTTTTTCCAGTCTCACGATTTGCTATAACTATGGCTTGCACCATATTTTCATGAAAAACAAAACCCCACACACCTTCCGTTACAGCTGCCTGTACAACAGACACTGATGATGGGCTGAACTCTCAGTGACTGTTACAGCTCGTTTATATATTAATCCTATACATCAGTCGTACTGATTTAAAGGCATATGGATTCACAGCAATTATTTGCAGATTCTCTTTATCAAAGCATTAGGAAGATAACTTAAAACACTATTTGGCAAGGGGATGAAAGATGCCAGACACTCCTGAGCTCAGGTTCAGACAGCTCTGCCTGAGTTTCCCCAGTGACACACCAACACCAGCACTTCACAGTTTGCACTCTCCTGCTAGTGCCAGCAGCAGTCCTGACCCCATGCTTGTGGTGAAATGATAACAATTTTAACTGCTGTGTTTTTTAATCCTGTTCAACTGTGTTTGATGACATCATACTCCTCCTGTCTAGAAAACACAGCTTTTCTCCACTATTTGGTCAGACATTAAGTTTTGAGCATCCCCCGGTGGGCAAGGCCAAACAACAAACAAGCAGAAGTGAGAATTAGGTATCTCAAATGTTAAATTTTAAATTATTTCAGTGCTTTTGAAAGACAACGACATTCCAGACTAATCCAGAAAAAAAGGCATAATGTAAAAAGCATTCTACTGTGGGAAGATTCTTCCTTCACGCAGCCTTTACCAAGACACAACACAATATCTCGTACTTCAGAGGAGCAACAACATAAAACAGACTGAATTAAGGTTGAGGACAATTGGGCTGTTAAGAAAACTCTCCCAAAAAATAATCAAGGATTCCTACTCCACCTCCTAGACTCCACACACACACTTTCGAAAGTACTATATGGTAAATATCAGAAAGTAAAAAAGGATTCTACTGATAACAAAACACACTAACTTTTTTTTAAAATTCTAGTTTTTGCAAAAATCAGACTGTTCCTCCATGGGATATGTTACACTTCAGAAACTTGTTACACAACTGTGATGCCTGCAGCCAATGCTAGTTATGTTTCCCTCTCCTTTCTGTATTTTACTTTATAACAGAAAGACTGTTCAGATTTCACAACTCTAAATCATGTTGGGAAAAAAGTTGGTGACTGCACAGAAGAGAGGGGAGACAAGAGCCCTGTGCCTGGGACTGGGAATGGTCACCTGCTCCATGATGATGTACTTTTTTATTGGGATCACCATTGTGCCATTCTACACTAAAAGGTAATAACGGTCATTTATTTATGAATACAAAGCTATTTCTTTTTCGTGTCAGCAAACACAATTATTAAAACAGTGCTGAAATATGTTAGTATCTTGTACAGTAAATAATACATTCTTGAAGTACTCATAAGAATTTCAGAAGAAAAAGAAAGAAAAAAGCAAGAAAAAAGCAAGTCAAGAAGTCATCATGTATTTACATGTAAGCACAAGAGGGAATGATCATCCTGGGCTAGAATGAAAACAGACTAAACCAAAACACTTACTATGAAAACTTATAAAATAGAAAACAACCATGCTTACCAAAGCTTGATAATGGAAAGCTGTCTTGCACAAATTAAAAAAAAAAAAAACAACAGCATGCTTTTCCATGTGCAGAAGGGTGTATTGTTTTTAATAAAACTATAAAAATTTGAGCAACAGAACTCATGGCAAAATCGTTCCGTCAAGAATCTGCACCTTCCCTCCAACTCAATCAGCATGAGAAACTACCACCTTCAGCAGCCCCGTCTGCCACAACAAATGTTGCAGAACACAAAAAATGCTGAAAAGTTACTATTACCCACATTTTTATTTCATTTTGCAAATTCTGCCTCCACACACAGAATCAATCTGCAAAAAACCAAAGTAACAAGACAAAGAGCACACTTTGGTTTTTCATCCTTGAAGATTTGGATGGAGAAAGTAAATACATCCGCTTCATTCTCCTTGCTAAGAGAACCTTTATGCTCATAAACTTTTGAAAAACATTATCTTTAAAACAGAGTAATTTGCATTTATTTTATGTGGTTTCCAGCCTCCTGATTACATTACAAAAGACATTTGCATGTGAAAAGATTAGTTTCTTAAGAACTGGAGTGAGACTATTTCTTTACTTTTTTGCCAACAAAGTCTACAGTAAGCAAAAAGTTTACTGTTGTATCCATAATAAAAGAGTAACTTTTGAGAAAAAGGGGTAAGTAATAGCAAAAAATTAACTTCTGCCAGATAAAATCCCACTACTTATTCATGCAAAAGATTCATGTAATAAAGAAAAAGATAAAGGGGAAAAACATGGGAACTGATTTGAATTCTGAGAATTATTGAATGAAATTAGTCAAAATTTCTGATGATTTCTGATACATCAAAAGCTCTGTGATGCTCAAGCAGGTTTCAAATCATGTTAGGCTTTTCCAGTGTACTGCACTTCCAAATATTTACTACCAAACATTAAAATCTAGTAATTTTTCTTTCTTGAGTAACACTTAAGGTTGATTACAGATAGGGTTAGATTTTAAGTTCGAACTACAGAATGTGTAACAAACAACAAAAAAAACACTTTCCTGCCCCGCTTTCCTACAGCAGCCCTTTGCCAGGCACAGCCATCGATTCAGGGTGGGCAAAGCTCACCATGCCAGGACTGGGCAGCCATGAACTCTACCCATGCCACCACTCCCAGCTGGCACAAACAGACACATCTCCAGCATGCGACTCCTAACAGATGCTGCCAACATATTTAAAAGCAATATCTTTTGGTTTGTTTTTTAGTGTTTGGACAACAGAGTCTGTGTGCAAGGTACTCAAAGCCAACATCAAGGACAAAGCTCTCTGCCCCAACAGCGAAGGCACAGAGGATGAGGATATCTTTCCTTACCCCTGTCTACAGGTGTGGGTTAATCTGACAGCCTCAGGACAAGAGGTTATGCTCTATCAGACTGAAGATACACTGGAAAGAAATCCTAAGGTACTTGCAACAGATTGAATAATGCTAACACCTTTGCTGCTAACACCTTTGAGGAGAAGGGCTGATTGTTTTTAAACCAAGCAGCAGAGTAAGAGTAGGAGCTGTTCGTCTTTTACATGTTAGTGTCTGTGCTTACACCAAGGCATTTTTAAAATATTCCAGAAATTACAGTTTTGGATTTTGTTTTAAACATTACATCCATCATTAAGTTAATACTTGCTCGGCAATTATACCAACCAAAACATGAATGAATAACATTTTTGAACAGTTCAAAAATATGCAGGTCTCCTAGTTGAAGGCCAATGGTGAGAAATAGTTTATAAGCGGTGGTTTGCTCACTTGCTGGTTGAATTATCACAGGAGAGACTTGAAGTTAAAAGCTATTCTAAATAATGGCACAAATCCCAATTTTACTTGCATTTGAGGTGTGCGATACGAACCAACGAATAAAGAAAGCTCAGAAAGGGGAGATGAGGGTATTTTTGGGAACACGATACACATTTTAGATAGAAAGGAGAAGAAAATCAGTAATTTTGGAAGATGATCACCCAGAAGACTGGTTTGTCTTTGATTTAGTCTGCAAGTGTTTCTGGAGAGTGTGGCAGCAGAAACCTGGACTCATGGAGAAGGCAGTGGTGCTGTAAGAAGCTCCTGTGTAAGGCAGAGACATTGGATATTGTGGTAGAGGTCTCCTGGTCCTTTTTTTAAGGATCTCTTCCCCATGGAATGAGTGCAGACCATGGGTGGGACAGAAACATGGGTGCACAGTATTCATTTGGCTTTAGAGGTTTGTGAAAGACTGGGGAACGGGAAAAAAGTAGAGCGTTATCCTTTTGTTTCTGCTTAGGAATCAGCAAAGAGCTCAACATTTTTAGGCTTGCTCACTGCCGTGGTTTAACCTCAGCTGGCAACTAAGCCCCACACAGCCACTTACTTGCTCCCTTTCCCCTGGTGCAATGGGGTAGAGAATCAGAAAAGTGAGAATATTCACGGGTTGAGATACAGGTAGTTTAACAGGTAAAGCAAAAGCCATGCACACAAGAAAAGCAGAACAAGGAATTCCTTCACTCCTTCCCGTGGGCAGGCAGGTGTTCAGCCATCCCCAAGAAAGCAGGGCACCATCACACACAACAGCGACTTGGGAAGACAAATGTCATCACTCCAAATATTCCCCCCTTCCTCCTCCTTCCCCCAGCTGTATACATTGAGCATGATGTAATACGGTGTGGAATATCCCTGTGGTCAGCTGGGGTCAGCTGTCCCAGCTGTGTCCCTTCCCAGCTCCCTGTGCACCCCTAGCCTGCTCGCTGGTGGGGTGGGAAGCAGAAGAGGCCTTGACGCTGTGTGAGCACTGCTCAGCAGTAAGGAAAACATCCCTGTGTAAGCAACCCTCTTTCCAGCATGGATAAAACACAGCCCCATCCGAGCTACTGTGAAGGAGTTGAACTCTATCCCAGCCAAAACCAGCACACTGCCTCATAACCAGAAATGCTTCTACAGGTATACTGTCCCAAAGAAGGTCAGGTTCAGTTCAGCTCCAAAACCATGAGTATTTCACAAGCCTTCTTCCAGCTTAACACTCTCTAAGGTGCCATAAAGTCAAATTCAGATCTCGGATTCCCACAACTGACGCAGAACAGAATCCAAAACAAACCTGCTCGGACTACAAGTCTTCATCTTCTTAAAGCAACTAGATGAGTCTTCTTAAAGCAATATAGATGAGTTTCACACTGCAAATCTGATAGCATAAACCACTTCAACTGAAGAGAATTTTGCTAGCTAATGCTTATCTTTATAATGACTATCTCAGGGAAAGCTACATACAATGAAGTAGCAAAACAGAAATTATCCCCTGTAGACTGAAACAAGATAGTCTTGTTCACTACCAGAGGAGGTGATTTGCTGATTTCCTATCTCCTGTTTGCATTACTGCAAGTAATGTCAGGAACCACCCACTTTCTGCCTTGGCCCGTTTCCAGATTAACACACCTAAGCATTATTATACGTGCAAAATAATATTGCAGAAAATAAACTGTTATGAACAACACAGGTGAGTACTTCAAAGTCTGGTAGTATTTCCACTAAAGAACTTTGTGTTATTACTACAGGTCAAAATAGTTTTGTGTTAAGAGAACAAGTAGGAAATCTCCAACAGCCATGCTTTCCTGTTACTCTTCTAGTCACAGCCAGAGGTACACAGGGAAGTAACTTTGTTTTCCTGGACACTGACAAGCCAGTTGTGAATTTCCGCACAGCTAACGCATTCGGCTGTGGTGGTGCCTAGAAGCTCTGTTAGGAGCATGAGCTCGGCACTGTAATAATAAAATGACAGTCCCAAAGACTGCGGTTTTATTTCCGGCACATGTGTGTTATTGGTTTCTAACAACATTACTCCAACCTATAAGTCTGCAAACTGGGGGCATAGACACACTGACAGAAACAGGGAAGCATGGCAAATGGGTTATGGACCTAAGGAAGCCAAGACTATCTCCAGGGATGCTCGCTAAACCACAGAAGATTTTACCAGTACTAGCATGTTTGCTTGACTCAAACTAGCTTAACTACAAACCCTGTATTAGATTATCTGTTACAATGAATCACCTTGATTTCTTATTCCAGTGCTCATACGTCCCAGACAAGTCGGACAGCTCTAAAGAAGTTAAAGCACGAATAGAAACAATTGCAAGCAATTTCAAAAAATACCAGACTTTCCCATGCTACTATGACCCAGGAGGAACACAGACCAGTGTCATTTTAAGCAGACTTTATCCCCCAAAAGGCCTCATCTTTGCTTTCCTTTGGCCTACACTCATGTTTACTGGTGGATGTCTGATTATTGTTCTGGTAAAAATTAGTCAGTATGTTTCTGTTCTTTCTGCTTGGCAGTAGGAAATAAATATCTAGCATAGATTGTTACAAGATATTCAAGTACCTTTGTTCTGCCTGTCTTCATCTGCATTTTGTGACTTTTAACATACCAGATGTTAATCCAAGGGCAGGTATTCCAGAAACATGAATGGCACCCACTATGGATGGCAATCCATTACA